CATGAATTGAGGAACGTTTCATGGAAAGATCATCCGTCACACAAAACAAACTTTTAGGAATGAATTAAATTCTTTCGAAACACATGACGATATGACAAAAAACAAGAGTTTTCAAATAATGTGCTAGATCTCTCGAAGGGAGACGGAATTTATGGAAGACATTTAGCATTTAATTTGGCATAGAAAAGGGATGGCAAGGCAATACAGCGAATAGAGCATTTATAGTATGACGTGTGCATGTTAAGGTAAATGCTACGATGAGATTAGCAAGATAGAGTGGGCATCATTGTCTGGAAATTAGCGATAGAAGAGGTTGCTGAATCTGTCTCATGTTTAATTTTTTTCCTCTGTGGAGAGCATGTAACTTCGAACGAAACCATCTGCATTTGCTCCCGGCAGTCATGAGTCAGGCTTCGTGTCAAAATCTTCAACAGTGTTCAGTCAGCGCATCTGAATGTATTTGCATGTTCCGCTTTCCTTCGATCAACTAAAAACTGAGTGAGGAAATTCGTAACCATCCAAGAACGGTGGCAACTGTAATGGTAAATTGCTCGAGCTGAACGTCACTTCATCTTTTTCTTCAGAACCAGACTTTGAAACCTCAGTTCATTCCACCCAGCAGCCAGTAGAAACGTTATCAATACCACTTAGTTACGTTCAATGTTTATGGTTAGGAGCTATTCATTTGTAAATTCACGTTCTCCAATAATTTACAAACTACGTTAAATCTAGTAGATTGACAGCCTTCATGCTGGTTTTTACCGCTAACTCCAGAACAGACGAAGATGACTAGAGTTAATAAGAACAATCCTAATAACTTCCTCAACATCCAGCACCAAGAATTAGCTCCTTACTCGTTCGATAAATCAGTTGTTGATGTGAGGAAANCATAATTTATGAAAAGAAATTTTTAATCAAAACAAATTTTGAATTTTCTTCAGCTGTGAACCACAATTCTATAAAATTTCCTGAAACAAGTTATACGAAATAATTCCATTGCCCTATGTTGCAATCATGTTCATCAGTGGAACCAAATAAGACGAAATTGCGAAATTAAAGAATGAAGGTAGTAGCGTCCATTCATCGGAGAAATATGAACCAGAGGGAATCACTGATACATCTGAAGTGATTCAAAAAAAACATGGAGACAGAATGAAGTAGCAGTGCAATCGGCACAGTTAAGTACAAGAGTGTGAAAGTGGCTACGGCTCCTCAAAATTGCCTGGAACAGTCATAAGTATCCGCATATCTAGGTTATAAATTGAATTCTTTGAAGTTGCACGTTTCGATATTTTTCGCTTATGCATAATGATCCGTATCATCTAAAACGATTTCCATATGTATGCCAATGAGTCAACATTTCGTGTTAGATCTGCTCTACGTGACACTCCTTCGTTTACCACTGTAACTTTGTGGAAGAGTTTTTCAGTGGAACTGGTAACATTGTCGTGTACATGCATATTTGTTACTCGTTCATGCTGGAAACAATTAGTTCTTGATTGATGCTATCGGAAGGAAACGTGAATCGTATCCTCATATTGATGTTCATAAGAACATTCAAAATGCATTAATCACTATGGTTTCAAAGTGGGTTTTCATCTGAAGACGACGTGAACAATTGATATCATAGATACATCACATAATATGCTATTATATTCGATCTTCGAGACAGATATTCATCATGTTCGAATAATAAGTTGTTTCTTGATTTCAGCTCTTAAGCTGCACCATGTTGCTTCCTCGTCCCTCATATTCGTAAACTTTACCTATCCGATTGCCTTCGAATTTCCCGAATTTTTGAAAAATTTTATGCCTTTAATACTAAAACGAGCAAGTTTAGGTGTCGATTCAATAAGCTGAAAGATTGCTTGCAAAAAGAAAAGCTCATGAATTTGCATCCTGGTGTCTCATTTTCCGTTCAATGTTTACCTTTCGTGTTGATTTCTCACAATCAGTGAAGAAAATGTTATCGTTTTGCATAAGAAATGACAAATATGAGTTTATATAAAGATAAGCATTCCGCGAATGAACGAATTTAGGTGAAAGAGGCATTTGAAATGAAATAATCACTTAAAGGTAATCAAATGAAAGATAATTCCATTGATTCAACAATAACCGGACCTCCGAAGACAACTTCGCCGGCGATCATTTCTCCGAGGCTCGCTTCGGCAATGCTTCCCCCTCCGAAGACCGCCTCTCCAGCACTTGTCTCGACAGAAACCTCCACTCCAGGACTTGTTCCTCCAAAAACTGCATCTTCAGTACGATCCGTCCTATCTCGAATAGCATTCAGTCCTACACCTCAACAAATTGAAATCGTTTTCGACAATCCACTTCCCAAAGTGAGCCATAACCAATCGTAAACTTTTAAAACAAGCTATACTTCAACTTAATGCGCCTTTTTTAGCAATTCATCTGACTCACATTGTAGGAATTGCAATGCCCCATTTGTTCACAAGTTCTACGCTCACCAATGAGACTGAAGTGTGGTCATCACGTTTGTGCAACTTGTCTCACAGAACTAACGTATGCAATTTATTCTCAATGTACGGCAAAATTTTCATCTCATTACCGAGTAACAATACAGGAACCCATCTCAACTTACTTAAATATGTTCCAGCAATAAATTTCCAACAGAAACTAATGTGATACTAATAACCCCTCTCATAGTAAACCAAAATACTTCGATATTTTTATAAACGCGATATCTCACTGCTTTTCGAGGAGGATTTGAACAGAAAATGAAAGGAAACACGTTAAAAGTAGAATCAAAACTATGGTTCAATCCAATACTCTCATTTAGAACATTAGTCATAAATTTCAGTGCAAACGAATGTCCAACATGTGGTGAAGCTTTCGACGGGAACGATGTGAGTTGAATGAAATTGCAGATTTCATTTCAATTCTGATAAGGTTGAGAGAGATAACTTTGTGCGATAGCTCTTGCATTTCTTGAGGATGTGCGATTGATTTGTATCATATTCGAGACGTTTGTCGTTGCTTCAGGCAGGTTTCTATACTGAGAGAAATCTATAGGATGCGTGAAGCCATCAAGTATTGGGAATTGACGTAGCAGTTTGTTTTTGTAGGTTGCAATCAATCGTTTATAAACTGGTAATGATGTAATTATTTCAAACTCATCGCGCACGTAATTAATTGACATTTACAGCCAGTGAAAGACAGTCAGCTGCAAAAACGAATTCAGCAATTACCTGTCAAATGCAGTTTCTTTGATAATGGCTGCACCTGGACTGGTATACTCAAACAGTTACAGGTTCATTAATGGATTGCTGGAATTTGCTGATTAGGTCAACGAAGAATTAATCATTCCTTGAGGATGCAAGCATCAAAAAGACTATAAATTTGCAAACATCACCGTTCCCTCTAATGAATGGTTTAATCCTAATGAAAAAGAGTTCACCCTCTGTTCGTGATTCTAGCGGATAGAAAATTTTCCAGTAAGCCCATAGAATTTCCAATCAACTTGATGTGAATTATTTGTCTGAATTTAAAATTCAAGAAGAACTCAAATATGAATCGTTTTCAAATTGTTCGGCTGATTTCAGCTCAAAAAGTTTCATATTCGGAATGAAAGTGAAAAGTAAGATATGCTTGTTTGCAGTGTAATTCTACGTGATGAATGAATGAAAGTATTCATCCAGGAATTCTTAACTCATTGATTCATCAACGTATATCACACATTTAAACGTTTTACATTCATCTGTGTTTGCGATAAATTTAACTGAAATATCAAATTCTGATAGCAGTCACGAATGAGAAAAACTAATAACTTACTTTACTAGCATCATATATCGCAATGCGACTATGTTGATGTTGAATGTCCGCGAGGATGCGGTGAAATATTCGCGAAGATAAACGAGCAAAATCATCTGAACAATGAATGCAGTCGACGCACAACGAAATGCAACTTTTGTCAGAAACAGATTAATATAAACACAATCGAAATGCATAATAAAGTAAGTTCAAAGAGCCCGGATTTGAGTTGAATGATCAGTGCGGAATGGATAGCTGTATAGAGCAATATGGGATGGTGAAGTATTACAGTACGCGATCTTTTCTCGGGATGCTGATTGTGAGAAGAACGAACCCCAACAAAACTTCATCACACTCACTCAATTACCCGAGTTGCATTCGAGCCTTGAAAAATCGCCGTATTTCATTGTGTTACTCATTTTCTACAAGAGNAATGTTCAAAATTTATTGCATTTCAAACTGTCATTCCCAAAGTACGATTACTGTGATGTTATTCTTCCCATATCTCAAATCAATCTTACTTTAGATCTGCCCATTGGCCTTGATTGACTGTCCAAATAAGTGTGGCGTTTGTGAAATGACCAGAGAACAGGTAGATTCATCGTTTTATCATTTATCAGCCGTGTTTGCATAATCATGACTACTTTTCGATTCCGGACATGAAAAAGGATCATAAACAAAAAACAGAACCGATAATCATTAGTCGTTACCAATCCTATGAAGGAGAATAACTTCGACGACAGTCACGATTCTCTTCTCACTGATTCGTTATCATTGATTTCACTCTAGCTGTTTCCACTTTCATACAATACATTAAGAAGTTTATTTCAAGAATCACGACATGAACCGATTTCATATCACATGAGTATCTTCAGCAATTCTAATTTATTGAATAATTCCACGATGATTTTCATAGATCGCGAAACATTTGCCTGATTGTCCCAAGGCGGGCTCATCGTGTCCGTTTTCCGAATTCGGTTGTCAATATCGCGGTGGTCGTGAAATGCTGCAACAACACATTCAAGAAGAGCCCATCAGACACCTGACTTTGCTATGTGATGGTGTTCTTGATCTCAAGGTTCTCAAACTCCATCATGAAAATCTTATAAGAGATTCGTTCACAATATATAATAAATGAGACAGATTTTTAGTCATCACCACCGAATATCCGAAAACTGCATCAACTTTCAGAGTTTCAATAAAGATTATATAAAACGAAAATTCAAAAACTCATTTTCGAGTTAGAAAACTCGAATGTACCAATGTTGCATTGTGTTGAACATGAACGTTATTTGCTAGCGATTAAATCAAATTGTGAGCATAGAATATCCCATAGTCATTGATATCATCTAGAATATCTCAGCAAAACAACAACGAACTTGTCGTCCAGAAAATACGTCATCTGAATTAAAATGCAATCTCAGTTGCGATACTGCAGCTCATCTTTCCACTTCTGATTAGTCAAAATAAGAGATGAAGCAAACAAATTGTTCGTTTATGATATTAATAGAAGAAATATAATTTGAGATGTTATTAGCGAATATGGAATTGAGTATGGAGACGATGGGCACTAATTTGGAAACGCTACAAAAGAAGGTTAATACCGTTTCATATTCATTATCTGGAAGCGACTTGCTCGGTTATTGGAGAATTGCTTCCATTGTATGCGATTAATGGAACGGTTTCAGTGTGCAACACTCGAGAAACTTTATGGATCACAGATGATCTGGAGAATTGACAATGTGAAACAAAAGCAGAACGAGGCTCGTTCTGGAACACGATCGATCATATTCTCACCACCATTCGCTAGTGCTCGGCATGGTTACAAAATGGTTTTGAGTGTTTCGTTGTATGGCGACGGACAAGGTTTATTTGAATAACTGACCATCAGATATTTCACTGTCCCATTCCGATTATTCATTCGCATTTCACTAATTTTTCACTATCCACAAATGTTTCTCGGCAAATGAATTCGTGGAGCTGTTATAAATTCAGAAAAAGTCTTTATCTAATCATTGAATATAATACAAGCTCCACTATATGTACCACAAATATTTTAACCAAAGAACATCAGTATTGTTAATTGTTCACATCAATTGTTTACTCACTTAAAACTCATTTACTTACGAGTCACTGTAACGAATAAACTTCAGTACGCGGTGAATACATGTCTGCATTTATAAGTATTATGCGCGGTGAGTTTGATGCACTTTTGGAATGGCCGTTCACAAATCAAATCAAAATAACTCTGCTCGATCAGGTTTTCTTTAAAAACTATTGATTAGATCTTGTATTACAATAGGATATGACCAAACACAATGGGATATTAGCAAATATCGAAGTGAACAAGTATATCTAGAATATTTTCATTAGTTCGTTCAGGTGAATGAAAATTGATTAATATAGGCGTAGTGGACTGGTTACTGTATCCGATAAGATGATGATGAAGAAGTAGAATTGTTGCAGTGAAAGGATGCAATAAAGTGAAATATTTCAGAACGAAGACATATCGAGTCGAAACAATATCGAATACGTTATAAAGCCAACACCAATCGCAGCACACAAATCGTTCTTGGATCGACCGATCAGCGAGAGAAACGCTTCGTTCGGAGCAGTGCGTTTTTGTGAGTTGGACATTGTTGAGAAGTACATACGAGACGATGTCATGTTCATTAAGGTCGATGTGGACAATTCCAAAACTCGTCCATTCTGAACTCCGTTCCTTATTATCAGTTAATTCATTTATGCAAACAACTATCCCACTTACAGATGCTTCCATTAGTGAGTGTGATGTAATCATCTCTTACTGTCAAACTGTTTTGACCAATTCGCCCCGTGAACCGATCGAATTGATCAATCGCTTACCGATTAAACAAACACCAACTGTATTGCTTTTACAACATTTCTCATGTCATTTGAGGGATCTCAAAATGAAGATGTAGCAAAAGAAATGGATTTGATCATGAGCAATAACTTCCATACGAAAAAGATTCTAGTCCTAAGTTATGTCCACTGTTGCTGTACTAGTTTCGTGCATTCACTGACAATACAATCATTCAGATCTTTATTGTAAACGATTATGTTCAGACAAGTTAGAAAAATTTATCATACAAGGAAAGTGAATCAAAAAGAAACGATCACGATTTTGAGAGATTTTCCAGTGAATTTTGCGCTTCTTTGAAAGTCCACAACAGATCCTGCAAATGATATCAATGAACAGTCAGATCGTAGACATTCGCTTACACACATGAAGTGTTTGCGAACAGAAATTCACTGGTATGGTAGTAATCATGCTTCAATTACGTAAAATGGAGTCGGGCCTAGGTGACATTTCTTCGGCGTATTTTCATCGGTGTTTTCTTAAATGCGATTGAAAAGAATCTGTTCGACGTTCACAGAGACAATGTAATCTTTGATAAAATATTGAATGTATTTTGATGATTTTAGGAGGAAATGTGGAACATAGGAGAGAATCAATTCATACCTTTTTCAGGCTATATGATATGAACACTGGAACAAACAAACGCAAAATGCATCTTAGTTTGATAATTATGTATCAATTAATATGCATCTGACTTTGAAAATCAAAACGAACATTGCTCAAAATTAGGAAAATGTTCAACGAACTTGTAACTGATTAACATCGCACTGGAACGAAATCTTCTCGATATCACAGCTGTCCGTTGCAATTGTATCGAAATGAATTTCTGCTATACTTCCACTTTGCTTTCCTTCATTTGTCTTCAAAACACATTTATACACTCCTTCGAGTACTCATCAAAAAAAGTTCATCAATAATCAGAGAAATACGTCGTAAAAACAATGAATGACAATACGCATTTGAAAATTGAACTAGCAAACTCTTAGGAACAAATGAGACGAATTTTGAAATAGAAATGATAAAAATGAATCTCGAGATTAATTCAAACTCAAACCTCCAAGACATTACTTATTCTCCAATCCATGTCAACAACGCGTGCATGTTCCCATCCAACTGTGGACAATTGATCTCGCAAACGGTCTTTGTAAACCTCAATATTGCAATCATAAAAACCTACCCATACAGAATTGCCAACGATTTTCATAAAGAAAGCAATCGATAGATGTTCATTTATTGGAGCAAAAGTTCAGATATTTTCTGAGAAATCAACTGGGTAAGGGTTGCAATATATTCACTGACTGAACTTCAAGTTGAGAATAATATTTTGCAAAAGGATTGATAGGGATAGCAAACGTCTGAACCTTATAAGCGTTCACAATAGCGTTTGATAAACGACAGCGCGGTAACGACTGCTCCAATTTGTTTTCATCATAAGAAAATTTCGATGCTTCCGAGATCGCTGACCATACAGTTTCGGCTAACTGTTGATCGCATAATGATTCATCATCTGAAGAAATTACCACAAAATTTAGTCGAAACTAATAGAAATTNACTGCTGAGGAAATTATAAAATTTATTTACTTTATAATTCACATACAAAAATGGCAACAGTCAAAAACAAGTCGTACAAAATAACTGACAAAAATGGCACAAGATCGTTGAAAATATCGAAAAAAGCTTGAGAGGAACACCAATGCAAAAAAATTTTGTGATACCTCTTATGTGCTCTAAACAGGGTGACCTTTAAGGAATTAGAAGTGTACATTAATAAAAATTTTCTTACATTCTCTTCCATCATCTCCTTCTACAACAAATGCGCACAGCTTTTGGCATATTTCATCCAAATTTTCCAATTTTTCTGCTTCATCTTTCAATCGCTCGATGAGTTTAGAGGGACGTTTCGAAAAATGTTCATTCATGCTGAAAATTGTATTTATCATTTCAACGGTTGAGATCTACGTGCCTCTATTATTCGGTTTTTCACAGGTTAATGCTATTCACTTGTAAGCTGACTGCTTTTCGCTTTTTGCATTCTTTCACATTTTAAACATTCTATTTTCATCATGAACAACTCTTGTAAGAATATGAATGAAATCGCTCGGAGATACTCGTT